CTCCCGCCCTAGCCCCAGCCCCAGCCCCAGCCCCAGCCCGGTCTGCAGGGCCTGTCCTGGAGCAGGCCCCTCGCCGTGAGACGGGAACACTCAGCCAGCAGCATCCGCCGGGCCCTGCCTGTGCTGCCCGTGTCCTCTACCCCGGTCCCCTCCGGCTGTGTGAGGCACAGCTCCGTGGTGCCAGCGCACCCCAGGCTCGGCCCTGATGCCTGAAGGAGTTGGGGTGAGCCGTCCCAGTCCTCACAAGAGCCCAGCACCTGCCTGCCCTTGCCAGCCCGGGGCCTGGGGTGAGGGGCCTGCTGCCAGGGGGAGCAGCTGGAAGGATGGGGCCCGGGGGCCACGGTTTGCTCTGGAGAGGCCTGTTCTCCAGCCCTGTTTCACCCCCCTCCTGTGGGCTGCCAGGCCTGGCCTGCCACCTCGCAGGTGTGGGGCAGAGCCCCATGCCAGCTCCACGGGGAGCTGAGGTCTGCAAAGCAGGCACACGGCCTCCAGTGCCTCCAGCGCAGCAGCCTGCTCTGGCCGCGGCCTCCTGTGCGGAGGTTTCCCCCATGTCCTGGGGTCTCTGGTCCCCTTTGGATGGGGGCCGGGGCCGGGGCAGACAGCTCCCTCCTGCCCGCAGGAAGCTGCAGTGCTGCGAGGCGATGCTCTCCTCCCTGGCTGAACTGCAGCCCAAGGGCAGGGGTGGGCCCTGAGCCAGGAGGCCATAGGGAGGCCTGGCCACATGCCCACTCTCTGCCTCAGGGTCTGAAGACAGGCACCCTGGGCAGGCTCGTCCTCTGCCCTCTCCTGCCCCAGGCGCGGGGCACACAGCCGCTCAGGGAGGCCTCTTCTGCCCTCTGCTCTCCCGGTCCTCTCCTGCCTGCTGGGCCCAGGCAGGACGTGTTCCCAGGACCGCCGATGGCCCCAGCGGGCCCAGGCAGGGCTGGCTCCTGGGTCTGCACAGCACGGGCTGGAGCCTGGCTGCTTGACACCAGCTGTCGTGACCCCGAGCTGCCTTCTGACCCCGGGATTCTCCATCGCCCCCGTAGCTGCGCCAGTCCACAGAGCTGCCTCGTTAGCTTGCCCAGCCCATGCGGTGCACTCCCCGTGGGGCCGGACTCCCAGGCGGCTCATCCTCCTGCCCCGTTTGGGAGCCTGTCCTCTTGCCTGGGGGTTTTGGGGACTGGGGCTCTGTGTGGCCCAGAGCTCCCTTCTCTTGCACCTCCGACTGCCCCTGCAGTTGCTGCCCCTGCGGCCAGGCAGGCTGCCCATGTCCCTGCTCTGCAGCGGGGTGCACAGGCTAATGCTGCCAGCACTTGTAAGCCCTCCCGGTGCCCATGCGGGCACCGATGGCTGTGCCTGCTCGTCGCTGCAGCAGTCGGGGAGCCTGTGCCTGACCCAGACCCCGTGGACTCAGAGACGCTGCTTTGCAAACCAGTTGCCATCTGCAGCTGCTTGACCTGCATTTGTTTTTCTTGGCCTTGGACTTGGCTGTGTCAAGGCACAGCTGGGCCCCTCGCACACTGGCAGATGGTGGTGCAGAGCTGCCTGTTCCCGCTGGGTGTCATTTCTTCCCCACATTTTGGAGAATGGGGATGGGGCTGGGCTGGGCCAATGCTCCTGCCCAAGGGTCCTGGCTGGAGGGTCTTGTTCCTGTGCTCAGACTCAGATCAACACTGCACTGGGGCAGCAAGGGATTTCCCCCCTGCTCAGACTGGTGTGGACTGGGGGGTTTTGCCTTCCTCTGCAGCGGGGGCACGGCCTGGGCCTGGGCTCTCCCAGTGTATCGAAGCCCCCTGGCACAGCAGGGCACTGCCACTCTCATCCCCTGGGGCAGGGCCGGGGCTCTCGGTGTCTCTGGGCCATGGGCCATGTCTGTGCACGGGACTGGGGTGTGGTGTCAGGACAGGTCAGGCAGGACGTGTCCAGGAGGGTTTGAGCAGGGCTGATCCTGCCTCGGGCAGGCAGTTGGATGAGCTGTAGAGGCCCCGGCACCCTGGCCATGCTGCAACCCTGGTTGTCTGATCTCTCTGGGCTCCTTGGTGCAAGTCTGTGCCTCCCTCCAGGCCTCTGCTCCGTCCTGGTCAGGGCAGGGGAAGCTGCAGGCCCAGGTCCTGGTGACTCCCTGCAGCAGCTCTGGCCATCGGGGTGCAGTGGGGCTGTGCTGGCTGCCTCCCCCTGCACAGGCCTGGGGGTTTTGGTGAGACAGTGCCGCCAAACACTACGGCTTCGGCTGGCTCTGGACGGGGCATGTATGGGAGCCGGGAGGACACCCCATCTGTGGCACCGGGCGCAGGGAGGCTGTCAGGCAGCTCCTGCCTTGCTGTTGACCTCCCAGCAGATTAATAGCTTGGCAACAGCATCTGCAGGGCCCGAGAGCCAACGCTGTCCCTGGCACCTCCCGTGGCACTGATGCACACTGCCTCTCTGGTGGGGCTGGGAGTCGGTCCCTGTCCCCAGGGCATCGACCCTGTGGTTACCCCAGGAGGGGCAGTTGGGCGGGGTGCTGGGCTCTGTCCTGTGCAGAGGAGGGATTGGCCAGGCGGGCTGAGCAGCAGCTGGGATGTCACCTGGCTCTCAGGTCTGTGGGTCTCCAGGGAGGTACCGGTGTCATCCAACAGCATGGTCCATGTTGTTGCCTTCCCCTTGTTCAGGGGCGATGCTACGGGCACATTGGGCTCCCCCAGGATGGTCTGCAAGTGCTCTCAGGACCCCGTGCCCTTAACGACCTCATTGTTACAAGAGAGAGCGCAGGCTGCAGATCTTAGTCACAAAGGGCTCAGCCGGGTTTATTGTCTACAAACCAGCCCAGATGCTAGCAGCTATGACCAGCCAGCCACGGGGCTACCTGGCTCATTGCATTACACCCAGCATGACTCTGGGGTCATTTATTTTATCCGGAGAAGTACAAGAGAAGCCAAAACAAGTTCCTCCAAACCACATGCTGGTGTATCGGGATATTAGCAATCAGGCATGACCGATGGCAGCGACATCCAGTGGAGAACAGATGCTCACTACAGCGCGGGGAGGTCTCTGGCCCCAGAATCCGTCCTCCTGGTCAAAGCAAGCTCCAGATTCCCGCCCCTCTGCCTTGTTGGGGGGTTTGATGCAGTCCAGGTTTGAATTGTGCCGAGTCCCAGAGCCGCGGGACTGGCAGGGAGCTCCAGAGATCACAGCTAGTCCAAGCCCTGCTTGAGGCAGGATCAGCCCAACCAGCCCAGGCAAACCATCGTGGAAACGCTACGTAAGACGACCATCAACCCTGACACAACACAGACCTCGTAACCGAACCGGGCACAGGGAACCATGGCAGCAATGTCCTGCTTCTATGAAATGTCAATAGACGCTGCAGAGAGTCCAGACCTAGGCCGTGCCCCGCTGCAGAGGAAGGCAAAACCCCCCAGTGCGCACCAGTCTGAGCCGGGGGGAAATCCCTTCCTGCCCCAGTGCAGCATCTGGCTGAGCCTGAGCGCAGGGACGAGACCCCCCAGCCAGGACCCTGCAGGGTTGGTGCCAGCAGGAGCATTGGCACAGCCCAGCCCCAGCCCCAGCACCCCTGGGGGAGGGGGAAAAGCCCCCTGACACATGGAGCAGAAAGGGGCAAGGGGCAACCAGTGGAGCCCTGAAGCCTGGGAAATGTCCACAGCGAGCACAGGCACCGCTGGGCCGTGATCATCGCTGCCCTGCGGCTGTCTACCCTCTCCTTGACACCTCCAGGGATGGAGAGTCCACTTTCCCACGGCCTCCCCTTTCCCATGGCGCCAACCCTGCAGGGTCCTGGTGGAGGGTCTTGCCCCTGCACTCGGACAGCCCCGCGCTGCACTGGGGATAGGAGGGGATTTCCCCCCTGCTGAGACTGGTCTGCGCTGGGGGTTTTGCCTTCCTCTGCAGTGGGGCACGGCCTCAGCCTGGGCTCTCTGCAGCGTCCTTGACCGCCCTGGCAGCAGCAGGACGTTGGCAGCCGCGGCCCCCCTGTATCCCAGGGGTGGGGGCGGGGGCGATGCCTGGTGCTGCGTCAGGATGACGGTGTCGTGCAGCTCCAAGGTCGAACACGGGGTTTGTCTGGGCTGGTTTGGACAGGGCCGATCCTGCCGCAGGCAGGGCTTGGACTGGACGTGCCCCCACAGGTCCTTGCCAGCCCCGCGGCTCTGGCACTCTGTGTTTCTATGACCCCCTCAGTCCCGGCACCAGGCCCTGCGCGGTCTCCAGCCTGGGGGCTTGCAGTGTTTGCCCCTCAGGTGTTCCTTATGATCCCTAATTATCCCCATGGCCCTTTTCACGCTGGCCCAGACCTGGGACCTGGGGAAACCAGGGGGAAAGTTAACCCATTGCCTCCCAGTGTGTCACAGAATTTCAAGGTCACAGCAGGGAAAGTGAGGCAGGGAAACACCAAAGCATGCCGGCTCCTGTCTGCTCCTAACCTGAACCTGAACCCAAACCCAGGCTGCCCAAAAGGAGACCACTTGGCTGGCCCAGTGCTGCGCGGGCAGCAGGGGCAGAGATGTGCTTGCAGGCCACGGCAGTCCCTGCGCCAGCCTGGTGGGGATACTCAGATGAGGGGTGCTGGGACCCCTCCAGCCCATCTCCGAAAAGCTGCATCCCTGGGGAAACAGAGCCCATGTGGGGCGGAGGGGCCCTAGGACCATGTGGGGCCTCATGCCCTGGCCCTGGGGGAGCCCGGCCTTGGCCATGGGGCTGCGCTGCCTCTGCAGCCCGGGGCCCAGGGCCCTTTGCTAGCTGGCCGGGGGGCGGCTGGGTCTGGGGCCAGCGGAGTGACCTCTCTGTCTTGTCCCTTCCCCCCTCGTGCGCCCAGACCGTCCCCCGTCCCCTGTCAACGTGACCGTGACGCAGCTGAAGGCCAACTCCGCCACCGTCTCGTGGGACGTCCCGGAGGGAGACGTCATCATCGGCTATGCCATCTTGCAGCAGGTATGCTTGCGCCTGGGCCTGGCAGCCCCTGCCTGAAAACAGCCCGGGAGCCCGGCTGGCCACGGTTCCCAGGGGCGCCTGCTTGGGCTGACCCTGCTCAGCCTCATCCCCCGGGGCCTCTGCTTGGCCCCACGTGCCCCGTGTCATTGTCCTAGCCCCAGCTGCTCCTGCCCCGGGCCCCAGGGACACCCACTGGTCTCAAGTTGCAGCAAGAGAAATTGAGGTTAGATATTAGGAAAAACTTTCTCATGAGGAGGGTAGTAAAGCACTGGAAGATGTTACCAGAGAGGTGGTGGAGTCTCCATTTTTGGAGGCTTTGAAGACCCGGCTAGACAAAGCCTTTGCTGGGATGATGTAGTTGTGGCCGGTCCTGCTTGGAGCAGGGGGTCGGACTAGGTGCGACCTCCCTTCCAGCCCTCATTGCCTATGATCCTATAGGCATGTGCACTGGTTTGCTAGAGTACATATAGTTTTAAGAAACCACAAGAAACTAGGCACAGGAAGGTCAAAGGAGATTGTATCCTTAGTCCTGCAGTCGCCATAGTTGGATCTCTGTCTCTCAGTCATAAAACAACATCTAGCCTTCTTGAGCATCTTGCCAGGGCCTCCAGTACTTCCCTGTGGGTCATTTCTACCCCTGAGCTCATATGACCCCCCCGCCGAGTCCAGGTTTATCGCTAGAGCTGCCAGCAGTCTGCAGGGCAGGGCAAGAGGAGACAGGTGTGACTAGGAATGGTGAACAACAGCCTTGCAGAGAAAGGAGAGCTTGAATGGTGGATCATCAAGACTCCCACAAAGGAGAGGGTTGTTCACGCCTGGGGAGTGACGAGAAATTAGCAGGAATCAGGGAGCTGACCAGGAGCCATGAAGGCAATGGACTCCCTCAGCGCTGCCTGGATAGAAATGCTACTGCAGTTGGAGGTGAAGTGTGGGTGGAGCAGGGATTGGGGGGGTGCAACCACTGCACCCCCAGATCCACCCCTGGGGTCTGCTTTAGGCTGGGCTCTGAGCAAGGCGCCGAGGCTCTTTGAGGACGGTGCCTAAGCATCCAGGGGGGCCTGAGCAGCCCCATGGGGCCTGGGGGCCTGGGCAAGAAGCCCACGGGGTCACCATGCTCAGCTGCATGGGCTTTTGCCCCCTCGGGGCCCTGTGGGGCTGTGGGGGGGCCCTGGCCAGGCTGACGGGGGCTGGTCCCCGCAGCGGCAGGATGGGCAGATGCAGCGGTTCATCCGGGAGGTGAACACCACGAACCGGGCCTGTGTGCTGTGGGACCTGGCGGAGGACGCCGACTACGTCATCCAGGTGCAGAGCATTGGCCTGCACGGCGAGAGCCAGGCCAGCAAGCGCGTGCACTTCCGCACCCTGAAGGAGACCGACCGCCTCCCCTCCAACAGCTCCAACCAAGGTGAGCCCTGCCTCGTCGCTGCCGGGCAGCCGGCCTGGTGTTGGGCGCTCCTACAGGGACGGGGAATGAGGACGTGGCGGCCAGTAGCAGCTGCCCCCAGGCCTGTGCCCGCGCTGCGCCGTGCCCCCGCAGAGGGAGGCTGCAAGCTCATCCTGGACTGGCGCTGCATTGGAGCTGAGCGGGGGCCAGCGCCCCGCAGCTTTGCAGAGTAATATGGCCATCCCCAGTCCAGCAAGACCCAACCCCAGTCCCCCATGCTGGGCAGCCCCTGCCATCACCGTCATTATCACCGGGCAGCCTGCAGCCCCATGTCCCGAGGGCCAGCTGCCCCCCTGGCCTCTGTCCCCCATGGGGAGGGCAGGGCTCAGTCCCCGTCCCCCCCACACTGGCCCCAAGCGGAGTGGGGGGGGCGGGGGCCGGTGGCTGACCGGGGTTCACGTGCCCGCAGGCGACATCACGGTGGAGGGGCTGGACAAGGAGCGGCAGTTACAGACAGGCGAGATCGTCATCATCGTGGCCGTGCTGCTCATGTGGGCAGGTGTGTGTGTCGGGTCCGGCCATGCTGCAGGGCTGCGGGTGCACTGCAGCCTGGGGAGGGGGCGTGGGGCAGAGCTGTCCCGCCTTTGCATTGCATAGCCCGGTGTTTCTGCACCAGCTCAGGGAGGGGGCATGGGGCAGACTACAGGTGCCCCCATGGCTGGTTGCAACACGCTGGGCCCCTGGCCAGCAAGGGGGCCTTGGCCCCGTGGTTGCGGCCCTCCCTGGGCTTTGCTGATGGGGGCCGGGAGGTGTCCAGAGCCCCCCTGGCAGCACAGCCTGCAGTGGAGGGCAGGGCAGGACCGGGGGGTGCAACTGAGCCCCCTGACACCCCCGTGCCGCGGCAGCGGTGATTGCGCTGTTCTGCCGGCAGTACGACATCATCAAGGACAACGACTCCAACAACGCCAAGGAGAAGGCGAAGCCGTCGTCAGAGCACAGCACGCCCGAGCGGCCCACGGGGGGGCTCCTGCGCAGCAAGGTGGGTGCACGTGCACGTGCACAGCTGCGGGGGCCAGCCGGGTGGAGGGACCAGATGCTGAGAGGCCTGGTGCCAGGGCGGGCACACCATGACACGTGCTGGGGACCCCGCTTTGCTGTCCCAGCTGTGGGGCCATGCATGCTGCTGGGGGCTGGTCCCAGTCCGGTTCGCGCAGGGTCGAGGATCTGTCCCTTTGCCACCTCGGCCCCAGGGGAGCGGAGGGGAGGGCAGAGCCCTCCTGCCTGCGTGGCCATGGACAAGGTGCCGCTCGCAGACCCAATGAACATCCAGGTCTCATGGAGCAGGACCCTCGCGACGCCCCCCGGAGCTGGCTGGAGAGCTGACTGCCCAGGTCTGGCTGGCTGCGCCTCGCCCTCCGCGCAGGGGCCTTGCCGTGGGGTCTCCAAACCTTGGCTGCACCCTGGGTCCCGCATGGGGTGGGGGCTGTCGTGCCAGGCTCTGTCACTGCTTCTCCTGCTTGGGGAAGGTGGCTTTCTCAGGTGGGGTGCTGCAGCTGCAGGGGAGCGCGGTGCTCAGCGCTCAGTGTGTGCCAGGCTGTGGGAGCCCCCCTTGCACCAGGGCAAGTGCCAGCTTCAATGCCCCCTTCTTTCTGGCAGAAAAAGTCCCCGTCGGTCAACATCATCGAAGTGTGAGCGTGGGGCCAGCGCTGGACCGGTCCAGCCAGAGCAGAGGAAGCTTGCAGGGTCGGGACACACTACTCCGTGCGTGGAGACAGGATGGAGCGGTGCATGCGGCACGCGGGCGGCACCGGCAGCACAGGACTGCATTGCCTACGAAGCCCCTTGCTGCGGCCACACAGGGGTAGGGACCAGGTCTCGTGGCCCCTTGTGGAGAGACCACCGGTGCCGCCCTCCACCAGCTCCAGCCCAGGATCCCGGCAGCAGGCAGCTTTGGCTCTTGTCCTCCCCATGGGGGTTTTCCTGAGCCTAGGGTCCCAGCCGTGGTGGCGCATGCAAGCTGGGTGTGGGGGCCCAGGTCAGGACTGGCTGCAGTGAGACCAGGTCAGTGCAGGGTTTGGGGGGCGGTCACCGGGCACGGGTTTGTAAGGCTGCTCCCGTCCATGCAACCAGGGCCAGGCCAGGGGGCTGAGTTACAGGGGGTGCCTATGGGCAGGGGAATGAGGGTGGGCCCAGGTGCTGGGCTTTGCTGGTTGAGCCCCCCCTTCCCTGGATGGAGCCAAGCCAGCTGGCACAGCCCCAGGCTGTCCCAGCCAAGCCCCTGCAACCAGGACAGCACAGAGGTACCGGCAGCCTGACTCCTGCCTCCTGGACACACAACCCAGAGCGGGGCCATGGCTCCCCACCCCAGGACTCAGCATCACGGCGTCTTCCAGGATCAAGCCTTTGCGCACAGCACTTTCCGGACTTGGCCTCCTCCATGGGAAGGGGCAGGGGGGCAGGGCCAGCGGTGCCCACGGCAGGGGCTTTTCAATAAAAGTCTGTGGTCTGAGGCAGGGAAGGACAGGCTCTGTGGTGGCTTCGGCTGGGAGCCGTGTCCCATGGCAGCATGGGGCTGAGATGGGGCCAGCCCAGTGCCTTCACCCTGTGGGCAGAGGACAAGAGGCCCTGTGGGGCCAGGAGCAAGATGACCTGCTGGAAGGGGAAGGAGCCAGGCCAGGTCCTGTGCCCATGGGCCACAACCCAGCTGGCCCTGCCTGAGTGTGAGGACGGGGAGGACAGGCCTCATCCGGGGCAAAGGAGATGCAGTCCCGGGGCACGGGGAAGGGCAGACTGGCCATCCTGCCACTTCTGGGGCCCTGGCACCACATGCAGGAACATTGCAGCTGCCTTGCTCGCGCAACGCAGGGTCTATCGTGGGTGCAGGCAGCCCCATCCTGGCCTCAGGGTGTCCATGGCGCAAGCCTGGCCGCCCAGCGCAGCCCAGCCCAGCCCAGCCCGGCTTACAACAGTAGAAAAGGGGTTTATTGAACTCTACAAAGGTGAGGCCTCAACAATCAGCTGGTTGCAGCCTCTGCCCTGAGGGCACGGAGCAGCAGAGCGGGGGCTTAGCCCCATGGTGCAGGAGCCCACGCGCTCAGCGAGGGGTCCCAGAGAGGCCACCCCCCCCATTGTTGTACACGAGTGGTTGCTGCCCGGTGGCGCTTCCCGTGGGCCAAAGCTCAGAGGGAGCTAACTCCCCAGGGGACAAGGGCAGAGCTCACCCCCTTCCAGCACGCCTCCAGCGCCAGCTCCCGGATGCGAGGGCCAGGGCCCCAGACTGGCAGCTGTGCCCAGCACCGCGCGCCCCACTGACCTGGCACAGAGCACCCCAGGGCACGGAGCAGGGCTCGCTGCCATCTGCCTGCCAGCCTGGTGTGGAGGCCAAAGCCCAAGCACAGAGCTCTGGCAGGACACAGCTCACCTGGCGAGGCGGTCAGGACCAGCCTGGCAGGGGCTGGGGGCAGTGGGCAGGGGTCCTTGGGTCTAAGCAAGCTCCCTGGGGGCTGGGAGGTTGCACAGGGCAGCTGCCAGCCCCCAGCCTGGCACTGCCCCCACCATGGAAAGCTAAGGGCCAGCACAGCGGGAGGGGAGCAGAGACCATAGTGCCACACGCCCACAGGGCTGTGGGGACTCTTCTGGCCCATATACCTGGAACGGAGCTGAGGTCCGGACGAGAGGAGCAGGACTGGGGCCGGCTGGAGCAGAGCGGACTGGCTGGAGACAGAAGCAGTGCGGGGAACAGAGGCAGGGAGCTCGGTCCGTCTACTGGGGGCAGAGCGCAGAGCCAAGGGTTTGTGCAAGCGTCCGGCGGGGTCGGGGGCTGCAGGGCAGGTGCTGTCCGGGGCCTGCCCCAGCAGGGCAGCGCACAGGGCCGGGGCTCAGGCACAGGGTGGATGCGAGCACTTGGTCCGCGACGGTGGTGCTGAGGCCTGCCGGGGCCTTGTCAGCCCAAGGGCACCGCAGGGCAGGATCGCTCGGGTGCATGGGCTCTGGCACCCGCCTCCCGCCTGGCCCTGCCGTCTGGGGGGCGCCCCAGGCGGGGCCAGCTCATTGCCAGCTGTGTGACACACGAGGTCCCTGCTCCCGGCGCTGGCAGTGTCGAGCCTGGAACAGAAGAGGGAGGAGGCCGCGGAGCTGGGGAGGCATGGGGGGCTCTCCTGGCAGGAGAGGCCTTTCCCCAGGTTGTGCCGTGACACTGGCCCCCGCTGCGGCATGGGGCATGTGCCAGCAGGGCAGGACAAGGCGGGGGACAAACGCCGTTTACCTGCCAGCCCTGGGGCGCCCTCCTCTGTGCAGCTGGGAACAAAGAGAGCATGCGTCGCTCCTGCAACCGGGGGGCACAAGGCACTAGCCCCATGGGCCATGGCAGGCACCAGCCCCACTGGACAGCTCCGGCCAGGCCAGCCCATGACTGTGGCCAGGGAGGGGCTTCATGGGCAGAGCCCGACAATACAGGGCATGGCTTCAAGGACCCACAGCTCCCAGCACCAGGCAGCTGGGGCCCCCCAGGGATCTCCTGCCCTTGCTGCATGGTCACAGAGACAGTCCTGCTCCCCCCACCCAGGAGCACGGCCCTGGCACAGACTGTGGCCAGGGGCCTGGGATGCCTCCATGGTGGTGGGGGACGCTACTGGGGTTTTGGCCTCCCGGCTCCAGAGAGCTGGGCTCAGGCTGGCTCCACTGCCACAGTCACTGTAGTGGGGCGGCACCTACCTGGGAAAGGCTTCATCCAGGTCATCATCTTCCTCTTCCTCCTCCTGAAGGAGATGGGAAGGTTTAAACCCTCTCAGAGGAGTTGCCATTAGGACTCTGGCCCCCAGTTCCTCCCCGAGCAGGGCCTTGCATGGGACACAGCTTCCATGCCCAGCCCCAGCCATGGGGCATGGGGAGCCCCAGGGCTCTGCACCCCAGATAGGGCAGGGCATGCCCCCCGGAGTCCTTGGGGATGGGGAGGATGCTGCGAGCAGCCGTCTGGCCCCAGTGTGTGCTGGCACAGAGCTCCGGTTGCAGCATGTGGGGGGCATGGGAAGGAGGGGTCCCTACCCCAGCCCCCCAGCACCTGGAAGAACCAGGCACGCAGGCCCCAGGAGCAGCACAGTGAAGTGGGGTATGGAGGGGTGGGGACGCCTCACCCAGGGCTCCCACCTTTCGGTGTGAACCAGGGGAGCAGAGACGGTCAGGAGAGGGGGTCTCCGCCAGGGGAGAGGGCAGAGCAGCACTTCTGTCCCTGGGTGTCAAGGAGAGGCAGGGCTAGTCGGGGAGGATCTAGGTGCAGCAATGCCTGTGCTCTGCTGTGGAGGTGTCCCAGGCTTCTGGCTGTGCTGGTTGCCCCCATCCCCGCCCCCTTCTGCTCCATGTGTCAGGGGGGTTTGAAGCCAACCCCAGAGGCGCTGGTGCTGCTGCAGCCCAGGCTGGGGATGGGGACTAGGCTGTACCGATGCTCCTGCTGGCACCAACCCCACAGGATCCTGGCTGGAGGGTCTTGCCCGTGCTCAGGCTCAGCCCAATGCTGCTTTGCCCCCTGCTCAGACTGGTGCGGACTGGGGGGTTTTGCCTTCCCCTGTAGCGGGGGCAAAGCCTCAGCCTGGGCTCTCTGCAGTGCCCATGACTCCCCATGGAAGCAGCAGGCTTTCCCAGGGACAGGGGTGATGCCTGGGACTGTCAGGGGTGACTGTTGTGTGGCTCCGAGGTTGGACACAGGGTTTGTCTGGGCTGCTCCTTCCCCAGGCAGGGGGCTGGACTGGATATGAGCTCCAGAGCTCCCTGTCAGCCCCACAGGTCTGGGAGTCTGCGACTCTATGAGCCCTTAGCCACGCGGCTCCTGGCAGGGTGCGAAACAGCCCTGGGCCCAGGCCTGGCTCTGCCCATACTGTACCCCGAGGTGCTGGAGGGGGGTGTTCCCCATGGGGGCCGGCGCCCTTGTGCTGCCTGGCTCACTGCTCTCCAAGGCACAGGAAGGGCGAAGGGGCTGCTCCTGCCTGGAGCCTAAAACAGGGCAAAAGCAGCAGTTAGAGCCCAAGTGTTGGGAGGGCGGGAAGGGGAAGGGGACCAGCGCCTCCAAACTGGCTCCTTGGGGTGCTACCACAGGCTGGGGGGGGCACAACCAGGGGCTGGGTCTCATGTGGGTCCAGGGGCCTCCATAGAGCACCAGGGCAGAGCCGCGTCCTACCTGCATGTGCTGCTTCCCAGAGGTCCAGCGCCACCTGGAAGGCCTGAGCCACGGTCAGTGTCACAGCCTGGGCCTGCGGGAGAGCGCCGAGAGCAGAACGAGGCTGGCAGCCCTCCCTCCCCGCAGCGTCCCAGAGCCCTCCCAGCCAAGCACCTGAGCCTCTGCACCTGCCTGGCCTGGACCCTGCCTGCAAGTCTCCCTGGCCAGGGGCCAGCCAGCAGCTCTGCAACGAGAGCCCCAGACACGCCAGGCCCCTGCGGCCCCGCACCTGTCTGTGCCCACACTCCTCTGACTGCACCCCAGCACCCTCCCCGGCATGGCTGCCTTGGGGGGAGGGAAAGCAGGGCCCCAGGAGATTCATGGAGCACCACGTTGAATTCAGGGCGGCTCCAGAGGGTCCAAAGGCGGAGGAGTCCTGGGACTGAGACCCCCGCTGCCCCTCTCCCAGGGACCGTGCAGGCACTCGGCGCTGCTGTTACCCCTGTCGTTTCTGGGGGGCAGCTCCAGGGGTGCATGCTGCGACTAGGGGGCTCTGGGTGAAGCCAGCCCAGGCCCCGTCCCTGGCTGAGAGGTGGGGGCTGGGGGACTTGCAGCTGTCTGAGCCGTGCGGGGCGGACGCGGTCGAGTCCTGGGAGGGCAGCAGGCAGCGGGGCCGGGACAGTGCCGGGGCAGGGGGCTGCCCGGCTCACGCAGGCGGTCACAGACCCGGCTGGCTCCGGGCGGGCAGGCTGGTGCTTACGATCTTCTTCTTGGGGGAGAGGAAGGCGTGGCACTCCAGCGCCCCGCTCTGCTGGCTCTGCGCCACGTAGGCGAACACCTTGTTCTGCAGCTTGTCCGTGGTGCAGTAGGAGATCCTGCGGGAGGGCAGCGGGTCAGCGCCAGCGCCGCAGCCCGGGGCACCCACACGGCACCTACACCAGGCGCCGGGCGCGACGGGCCACGCAGCCTCCAGCCGCTGGGAAGGGAAAGGCTGGGAGGGACCGGG